CCTAGGAGTGTCTCAGGCATTAGGTAGGGCAGTGATTCGATTCATTAGGTAGGACACGTTTAAGTGAATTTATATCCATTCTATAGCACGGCGACCAAAACTGAACTGCATAATCTAAATGGAGCCTAACCAGAGCAAGATATAGCTGAAGAACAACACCAGGTGTCATGTTACTAACGCTTCCATTAATAAATCCCAGTGTCCTATTTGAACTTATTACAAAAAATGCATTGATTTTTTTGTTTTAAATTCTTACTAATCATAACTCCCGGATCCCTTTCGCAATCCGACTTCGCAATCTCAACACCATCTAGCTCGTATCTTGTAACTCTATCCTCATTACCTAGCTTCAGAATTTTACATTTATCAGCATTAAACTGCATCTGCCAATCTTTTGACCATTTCAAAACCCTATTTAGATCAACTTGAAGTGATAGTGAGTCTTCTTCCGTGTTAATTTCCCTACCGATTTTTGTATCATCGGCAAATTTGCAAATGTTGCTACTCAAACCTGAATCTAAATCATTTATATATATTATAAACAACAGAGGTCCCAGGACAGAGCCTTGAGGCACTCCACTAACAACATTATCCCACTCTGACTTAACACCATTTATACTAACTCTCTGTTTCCTTTTTAATAGCCATGCCGTAATCCAACTTAATATAGCACCCCCAATACCATGAGCCTCTATTTTTTTAATCAGTCTCATGTGGCACTGTATGAAAAGCTTTGTTAAAGTCAAGGTACACAACATCACAATCCTTACCACTATCAACTGCCTCAACTATGCTGGAATAAAATGATAGCAAATTTGTTCAACATGAACGGCAATTTGTAAAATCTTGTTGCGACTCATTTATTAATTTATGTTTTTCAAGACGAAAACGAATTGTATTTGCAATTACCGATTCAAGTAACTTTCCCACAATAGACGTTAGGCTACAACATACATCTGATCACAAATGTCATATCATTAATGCAAACACTCAAACGACAAGGCCGACAGATACTTATCAACTGGATGCCAAGTCATGTGGGAATAATAGGAAATGACATTGCAGACGAAGCTGCAAAACTTGCAACTAAGAGAAGAAATGTAAACAATTTACATACCACAGAGTCTATCATAGATTAAGAAAGTAATTAGAAACAGAGCAATGCAAAAGATAAACAGTGACCACAACACAGCAGTTGCAACATCAGGATCTGTGGGTTGGTACAAGAATTCAACCAACTACGAACCACTTAGATTGATGAAAGGGAACAGTGCAGCAACAGAAGTACACGTACATCGCATCAGGCTTGGATACTGTTATAAATAAATTGGTGGGCTTGCTATGAGGGAACTGGTTCTATTAAGGGGTAAGGGTAGTTAGAATAAAGATGTATCTATTTGGGGAGATCAGTAAGGCCCGGCCCCCATGGAAACTAGAAGTAGTGCTGACTACTTGGCTACACAACAAGGTCAGTCTAGGGAATGATCAAGATCTCCTACACAGGAAGAATGATACTCTTATAATTCATGTACTTATTTATTAACCCCTTAACAACCCCCCATATACACTCACACCAATAACAATAATAATAATAACTTTACCACACTACCTTACGTTAAAAGCCTTGGTCCACATAAGCAGGATACAAGGTTTTATACTGAGCACAAGCTAGGGTAAAGCTCTACTATTGAATAACTTGAGGTTAGAGTCAGCTTAGGGTAGGGGACCACGTGGTTCCACTGGGACCCCCTTTAGAATAACTAGTAATATAAACTCTAAACACACCTACTACACACAAAATATACTACTCTACACATAGAACATGAGTATGCCAGACATGCATAATAACTCAGGGGGTACTTATCTTGAACAAGACACAGAAATAAGGAAACGAAGAGGAAGGGTAGGAGGTTCCTGTCCACACCACGCCAGCTCAGAAAAAGATCGAGTCTCCCTCTCCTTTCCCCCAGCTCGCTGCTACCGGCAGACTGCTCAACTAATCGTACCGCAGGCCTATACCAAGTTTACTCAGGTTTACTTTACAAATGATTAGAGTATTAGTAAACATAGTTGGTGCCTATGTTATTATTTAATAATCAACCCCCAGCTCAGTCTTTAAATGCTCTTTGAGAAACAAGAATAGTCTTACGTCTGGCAGGGAAGATGCAAACAAAGACCCATCGAGTTGCGATTTACTACTCTAACATAGCTTATTTAGTTAAATTTTGACCTCTGGTTTCCACTGAAGAACCCAGGGTCATAACAGATACCATGTGCATGGGAAATAGGCTTACAGGTTCCGGAAGATGAGAGGAAATGTCAGCACTGTGGAGAAATGCCCGACAGACCACTGGAACATTATCTAACACAGTGCACAGTTACAAACCAATTAGGATTTCAACTTAGACCCAACAGAGCAGAAGAAGTTGTTAAACACATATGGCAAAATGTTACTGAAGCGACCATACGAGTCATAAATACTCATATTCCGCCCAAGTAAAACAGAAACAAGCAACACTTAGTGGGCCAGCCAGAGGCTTAGGGCCCATGCAGGAATATCCCTGTAAAAAAAAAAAGTATCACAAAAACACCACCTGGGCTACGATAAAGCGTCACAAAAACATCCCCTAGGGCTACGACGAAGCATCACAAAAGGCAAAATCGTTTCGTCGTTGAGGCCGTTTCCACTGCTCACACAGAATGGGTATGGCCTCCACCACCGCCCCACGGAACGGGTTTGGGCTCCACCACCACCCACGGGACGGGTTTGGGCTCCACCACCACCCACGGGACGGGTATGGGCTCCACCACCGCCCACGGGGACGGGTATGGGCACCACCACCGCCCACGGGACGGGTATGGGCTCCACCACCGCCCACAGGACGGGTATGGGCTCCACCACCGCCCCACGGAACGGGTATGGGCTCCACCACCGCCCAGGGGACGGGTATGGGCTCTACCACCGCCCACGGGACGGGTATGGGCTCCACCACCGCCCACGGGACGGGTATGGGCTCCACCACCACCCACGGGATGGGTATGGGCTCCACCACCGCCCACGGGACGAGTATGGGCTCCACCACCACCCACGGGACGGACATGTGCTCCACCATCACCCACGGGACGGGTATGGGCTCCACCACCACCCACGGGACGGGTATGGGCTCCACCACCGCCCACGGGACGGGTATGGGCTCCACCACCACCCACGGGACAGGTATGGGCTCCACCACCACCCACGGGACGGATATGGGCTCCACCACCGCCCACGGGACGAGAATGGGCTCCACCACCGCCCACGGGACGGGTATGGGCTCCACCACCACCCACGGGACGGATATGGGCTCCACCACCACCCACGGGACGAGTATGGGCTCCACCACCGCCCACGGGACGGGTATGGGCTCCACCACCACCCACGGGACAGGTATGGGCTCCACCACCACCCACGGGACGGATATGGGCTCCACCACCGCCCACGGGACGAGAATGGGCTCCACCACCGCCCACGGGACGGGTATGGGCTCCACCACCACCCACGGGACGGATATGGGCTCCACCACCACCCACGGGACGAGTATGGGCTCCACCACCGCCCACGGGACGGGTATGGGCTCCACCACCGCCCACGGGACGGGTATGGGCTCCACCACCGCCCACGGGACAGGTATGGGCTGCACCACCACCCACGGGACGGGTATGGGCTCCACCACCACCCACGGGATGGGTATGGGCTCCACCACCGCCCACGGGACGAGTATGGGCTCCACCACCACCCACGGGACGGATATGGGCTCCACCATCACCCACGGGACGGGTATGGGCTCCACCACCACCCACGGGACGGGTATGGGCTCCACCACCACCCACGGGACGGGTATGGGCTCCACCATCACCCACGGGACGGGTATGGGCTCCACCACCACCCACGGGATGGATATGGGCTCCACCACCACCCACGGGACGGGTATGGGCTCCACCGTCACCCACGGGACGGGTATAGGCTCCACCACCACCCACGGGATGGATATGGGCTCCACCACCACCCACGGGACGGATATGGGCTCCACCACCACCCACGGGACGGATATGGGCTCGACCACCACCCACGGGATGAGTATAGGGTGCATAATAAATGACTCCATCAATCCATGGGAGCAGCAAGTGGCCCGTCATGCCAGTACGGTGGTTGGCGGGTATGACTAACCATCCTGCGAGATGGGAACTTGTATTACCACTGCTACCTTATTCAATCTTGTGTTGTTGATATTCTCAAAATGCATCCGGAGTCTGCCAGTGCAGACTGCTTATCACATGTCTCTGTATGACTAACCATCCTGTGTGATGGGGATTTTTTAGCATCACCTAGTTAGCTTTATTTTTTTTTTTTTTTTTGACACACTACTCCACTTCATATAGTCTAGGGTAGCTGCACTAATGCAGATGTACCTAATGTATTAATAAAAAGAAAAATTGAAACCGGGTTGGCTGTTCTGCTGATCCACTGCTGCTGGGTTACTGCCATTTTCCTCATTATTGTATTCTGTATTTCCTGTATTTATTTATCTGCAAATATTACTCACTCCACATCTTTTCTGCAATCAAAATGAAATTAATAAAGTTAAACCAAGTTAAAAATAATTTTATTTGACTATTCTATTGAGTTAAACTGAAAATCTTCCATGTTTGTGTAATTTACGGTTGGAAACTAAAGTGAAGTCGAATCACAAAAAAGTAAATGTTGCCACAATGTTTGATGAACCTTTTATAGTTTAGTATATTTTAAACCTAAAACTTCCTCGATAAGTTGTTATCAGCAGTAAACTCATCCTTATGTTGGAAAAACTAGCATTAGAAACTAATATTAATGTAGGTGTGAGTTAGGATAGTAATAAGTGTGATTATCAGGTGGAACTGTTCGGTAAGCTAAACTTGAAGCGTTCAGCTTCCTGGAGAGCCAGTGGTCCGCCCAGGTCGGCTCAGTACCCGCGCTAGGGTGATCTCACTCGCACGTGTTGACGTCCTGGGTGTTGGTGACGTGTGTTGATCTTACTCGCGCCTGTTGACGTACTGTGTTGATCTCGCTCGCGCCTGTTGACGTACTGTGTGTTGACCTCGCTCGCGCCTGTTGACGTACTGTGTTGACCTCGCTCGCGCCTGTTGACGTACTGTGTTGATCTCGCTCGCGCCTGTTGACGTACTGTGTGTTGATCTCGCACGCGCCTGTTGACGTACTGTGTGTTCACCTCGCTCGCGCCTGTTGACGTACTGTGTGTTCACCTCGCTCGCGCATGTTCACATACTCGAATGTCTTGTCTTCTATCCATGAATTTAATTAAGTTTGGTGTACAAACTGAGATGTTGTAGATAGTGCTTGTACGATTTAACTGATATCACTACGCTTCTCAAGGCAAGAAGATTGACTGATCAAGAAGGAGCCCTTATTCTAAAGGTAAAGTCTCTTCTTAACTTTTGGGTAGATCTAGGAGTTAAAGTGTTAAGGTATGCCCTGGTGCGTCAAGGTATGCCCTGGTGCGTCAAGGTATGTCCTGGTGCATCAGGTTATGTCCTGGTGCATCAAGGTATGCCCTGGTGCATCAAGGTATGTTCTGGTATGTCCTGGTGCATCAAGATATGCCTTGGTGCATCAAGGTATGCCCTGGTGCATCAAGGTATGTCCTGATGCATCAAGGTATGCCCTGGTGCATCAAGGTATGTCCTGATGCATCAAGGTATGTCCTGATGCATCAAGGTATATCCTGATGCATCAAGGTATGTCCTGATGCATCAAGGTATGTCCTGGTGCATCAAGGTATGTCCTGGTGCATCAAGGTATGCCCTGGTACGTCAAGGTATGTCCTGGTGCATCAAGGTATGTCCTGGTGCATCAAGGTATGTCCTGGTGCATCAAGGTATGTCCTGGTGCACCAAGGTATGCCTTGGTGCATCAAGGTATGCCCTGGTGCATCAAGGTATGCCCTGGTGCATCAAGGTATGTTCTAGTATGTCAGGGTATGTCCTGGTGCATCAAGGTATGCCTTGGTTCATCAAGGTATGCCTTGGTGCATCAAGGTATGCCCTGGTGCATCAAGGTATGTCCTGATGCATCAAGGTATGCCCTGGTGCATCAAGGTATGCCCTGGTGCATCATGGTATGTCCTGGTGCATCAAGGTATGCCCTGGTGCATCAAGGTATGCCCTGGTGCATCATGGTATGTCCTGGTGCATCAAGGTATGTCCTGGTGCATCAAGGTATGTCCTGGTGCATCAAGGTATGTCCTGATGCATCAAGGTATATCCTGATGCATCAAGGTATGTCCTGATGCATCAAGGTATGTCCTGGTGCATCAAGGTATGTCCTGGTGCATCAAGGTATGCCCTGGTACGTCAAGGTATGTCCTGGTGCATCAAGGTATGTCCTGGTGCATCAAGGTATGTCCTGGTGCATCAAGGTATGTCCTGGTGCACCAAGGTATGCCTTGGTGCATCAAGGTATGCCCAGGTGCATCAAGGTATGCCCTGGTGCATCAAGGTATGTTCTAGTATGTCAGGGTATGTCCTGGTGCATCAAGGTATGCCTTGGTTCATCAAGGTATGCCTTGGTGCATCAAGGTATGCCCTGGTGCATCAAGGTATGTCCTGATGCATCAAGGTATGCCCTGGTGCATCAAGGTATGCCCTGGTGCATCAAGGTATGTCCTGGTGCATCAAGGTATGCCCTGGTGCATCAAGGTATGCCCTGGTGCATCAAGGTATGCCCTGGTGCATCAAGGTATGTTCTAGTATGTCAGGGTATGTCCTGGTGCATCAAGGTATGCCTTGGTTCATCAAGGTATGCCTTGGTGCATCAAGGTATGCCCTGGTGCATCAAGGTATGTCCTGATGCATCAAGGTATGCCCTGGTGCATCAAGGTATGCCCTGGTGCATCATGGTATGTCCTGGTGCATCAAGGTATGCCCTGGTGCATCAAGGTATGCCCTGGTGCATCATGGTATGTCCTGGTGCATCAAGGTATGTCCTGGTGCATCAAGGTATGTCCTGGTGCATCAAGGTATGTCCTGGTGCATCAAGGTATGTCCTGGTGCATCAAGGTATGCCCTGGTGCATCATAGTATGTCCTGGTGCATCAAGGTATGTCCTGGTGCATCAAGGTATGCCCTGGTGCATCAAGGTATGTCCTGGTGCATCAAGGTATGTCCTGGTGCATCAAGGTATGTCCTGGAGCATCAAGGTATGCCCTGGTGCATCATGGTATGTCCTGGTGCATCAAGGTATGTCCTGGTGCATCAAGGTATGCCCTGGTACGTCAAGGTATGTCCTGGTGCATCAAGGTATGTCCTGGTGCATCAAGGTATGTCCTGGTGCATCAAGGTATGTCCTGGTGCACCAAGGTATGCCTTGGTGCATCAAGGTATGCCCTGGTGCATCAAGGTATGCCCTGGTGCATCAAGGTATGTTCTAGTATGTCAGGGTATGTCCTGGTGCATCAAGGTATGCCTTGGTTCATCAAGGTATGCCTTGGTGCATCAAGGTATGCCCTGGTGCATCAAGGTATGTCCTGATGCATCAAGGTATGCCCTGGTGCATCAAGGTATGCCCTGGTGCATCATGGTATGTCCTGGTGCATCAAGGTATGCCCTGGTGCATCAAGGTATGCCCTGGTGCATCATGGTATGTCCTGGTGCATCAAGGTATGTCCTGGTGCATCAAGGTATGTCCTGGTGCATCAAGGTATGTCCTGATGCATCAAGGTATATCCTGATGCATCAAGGTATGTCCTGATGCATCAAGGTATGTCCTGGTGCATCAAGGTATGTCCTGGTGCATCAAGGTATGCCCTGGTACGTCAAGGTATGTTCTGGTGCATCAAGGTATGTCCTGGTGCATCAAGGTATGTCCTGGTGCATCAAGGTATGTCCTGGTGCACCAAGGTATGCCTTGGTGCATCAAGGTATGCCCTGGTGCATCAAGGTATGTTCTAGTATGTCAGGGTATGTCCTGGTGCATCAAGGTATGCCTTGGTTCATCAAGGTATGCCTTGGTGCATCAAGGTATGCCCTGGTGCATCAAGGTATGTCCTGATGCATCAAGGTATGCCCTAGTGCATCAAGGTATGCCCTGGTGCATCATGGTATGTCCTGGTGCATCAAGGTATGCCCTGGTGCATCAAGGTATGCCCTGGTGCATCATGGTATGTCCTGGTGCATCAAGGTATGTCCTGGTGCATCAAGGTATGTCCTGGTGCATCAAGGTATGTCCTGGTGCATCAAGGTATGTCCTGGTGCATCAAGGTATGCCCTGGTGCATCATGGTATGTCCTGGTGCATCAAGGTATGTCCTGGTGCATCAAGGTATGTCCTGGTGCATCAAGGTATGTCCTGGTGCATCAAGGTATGTCCTGGTGCATCAAGGTATGTCCTGGTGCATCAAGGTATGTCCTGGTGCATCAAGGTATGTCCTGGTGCATCAAAGTATGCCCTAGAAGATCAATATATATATATATATATATATATATATATATATATATATATCAAGATATATAACTGAAAACTCACACCCCAGAAGTGACTCGAACCCATACTGCCAGGAGCAACGCAACTGGTATGTACAGGACGCCTTAATCCACTTGACCATCACGACCGGACAGAAGGAGGTGATAGCCGAAGCTATTTGAACCACCCTATATGAACGAAGCTATTTGAATATATATATATATATATATATATATATATATATATATATATATATATATATATATATATATATATATATATATATATATATATATATATATATATATGTCGTACCTAGTAGCCAGAACGCACTTCTCAGCCTACTATGCAAGGCCCATTTTGCATAATAAGCCAAGTTTTCATGAATTGTTTTTCGACTACCTAACCTACCTAACCTAACGTAACCTAACTTTTTCGGCTTTTTCGGCCACCGAGCTTGACGGGAAGAGTGGCTTGTTTCCACTGGCATTCGTTGAGGGAGAGGTTAACAACTTTTTCTAGCATGGTCTTCAGTAAGAGGTCATACTCTTCAAGCTTTCGGCTGTCGTAAGATGGGGCACACCTCAGAAAGTAGGTTAGCCTCGGAAGGGATAGGCATTTAGTGAGGAGATATAAAGCATCGTGGGCATCGATGTCACCTATTCTGTCTTCGATTCTCCTGAGGTCTGTGATTTTCTTATTTAGGATCTGAATGGTGTTAGATCCGAGGGGGGCTCCAAGGAGGGTGCTGTTCTCACACACACGAAACAGAAGGAAAAGGAGAAGTTGTTCAGCAAAAGTGGAGAGGACTGCAGCAGGAGCACAAGGCTACAAAATGACAGAGGACTGTCCCAAGGAGCATCACACTCCGGCAGCCGCCCACTAAGCCCCCCTCACGGCATCAACGAGCTGAACGGTGAGGTGGGTGTGGAGATAAAGAGATTGTTTGGTTTGCCGACTCTAGAACACTCAAACATATAATGGTCCACGTGAGAAGTATTCCATGTCTATATATAAACTGCACAATTCTAAAGATTGACCCTGAGCTTTGTTGATGGTGATTGCAAACCCCCAATCGAATTGGAAATTACAGTCTCCTAAATTGAAATGGCATATCTGTTGGAATCATAGGAATGCGAGAAATAAGGACATCTCCCTCTGAAAGGTGCTGTCAGATTGTTGCTTCTATGACGTCGCTGATTAATTTTTTTTACTACAAGGCGTGTGGCGTTGCAAAGTTTTGGTTGGTTGATATTTTGCAACAAGATAATTGGCAAGCCGATTTTCAATTGCCTTCCCACCAAACACACACCGAAACTACGACGTTGGTACAACGTTCGAACAAGTTTTAACACCTCCTAACCAGTTATAACAACCAATATAGCAAGTTGTAACAACGTTCTAATACGTCATAAACACGTTAAGCCAAGATGTAACAACTTTATTACAAGTTGTAACAAGCGGAAAATGGAGACAGTTTCGGTTTGTGTTTCCAGGGTTACGTGTGATGCTATCCCTGGCAGATCGAGTAAATTAAAAAATTCTGTTGGATAATTAACTGCATTATCTGCTTCCACAACAGTGTCGACGGACTTGTATGTGGCTGCCTCGCTTTGAATGATAGACTAAATAATATTGTTAAGGTAGTAGACGTTTTGTTCTTGGCCACAAGAACAGCTCGTTCACTCAGCCAATCGTAATTCTTATAATTGGTTTCAATATTGGGAAATACTTTTTCAACCAATTCTTCTTTTGACGTCACTAAATTGCAGAAGTTATGAGGCAATGAAATTCGTCCTGAGGTCAGATCAACCGGCCCATTTACATTCCCAATTTCTTGAAATTGATGTGAGAATATCTCAGCTGACGGATCGTTTTGCAGTAGCTACATAACTACACGCATATTTGTAGTTAATTTAAATGTCTTTACGTGGCGCCACAGAGTAGCGTATTTCAGGC